TATATATATATATTTGCTGCTGTTTTTGTATGACTGTTCGAGTGATGTCATTGTGTTGGAGAGAGTAAATATCATGAATAAATTTGACATTAAACATAATCCAAGTTGAAGTGTTGCATCATTTTCATCCTTCTTTGTGGCATCTGAATTTGGTAACAGGCCAAACTGACAAAGACCGTGCAGATTAATGAAGTGTTTTAATTCCAAAGCAGAGAAAGATATATGTAAGTAGGTCTAGGCAAAAATAAATAAATAAAATAATCAGTATTGGTATCGGATATCGGTCAAATAAGTTTTAACATATCGGATATCGGCCAGAAGTCCAATATTGTGCTAGTTTAAACATGTTTGTCTTTCGCCCGGAGTGTCTCACCGCTGCAGGACCGATGAGTTTATTCTGGTTGATAATGTTACAAATATACCTGATCCTGATGAGGTGTGGAACTGAAAACAGTCGTCGTGATTATCCTAACGTACGCAACATTTACTGCTCTCTCTCTCTGTTTCACTGTATGTGTGTCGATGTCTCTCACCCTCAGGTAGACCCGGTCCGGTCCAGATCAGCCCGGTGCACGGCCCTGGACAGAAACACAGAGATAATGAAACACAGAGTTCATCTTCATCATCATCCTCCAACTGGCCGGATCACATCCGTCCACATCCTCCTCCACTCCCACTCTGCAAACACGAGGAGGAGGAGGAGGAGGAGGAGGGTGGGAGGAGGAGGAGGAGGAGGAGGAGGTGAGGCTGCAGCGCAGCTCACGACTCCTCTCAGGTTTAATCTGATCCTGACTCTTGGACAGAACTCAGGAACGTGTCTCTGTAAGATGCAGAGACACGTTGGAGAAACGACCTGCGGCCTGAGAGGTCCAGCTCAGACCTGCTGATACCTCCAGGTTCTGGACAGATGTTTGTCTCAGTGGTTCCACCAAAACACATCACGTTTAAAGATCTTACCTGAGATCTTGTTGCTTCTACAACCTCAGGGGAAGTTCACATTATCAGAGTGCAGGTTTGTAGAGGTGCCCAGAGGTCCAGAATCTGAGGTGAAGTCTTAGTTTTCAGGTTCTGGACTTCTGTAACCACCAGGTTCTGGTCTGGTCTTCTGGTCTGGTCTTCTGGTCTGGGTACGAAAGTTTCTAACATCTTCATGGTTGTTCTGACCGGTCGGAAAAACAGTTCTTCTTGTATTCAATGCAGCTCTGAAAATTTTCCTTCAGTCCACCTTCAGTGGTGGTCCGGACACCTCTCACTATCAGAACCCGATCCGTCCAGAACCAAGGTGTAGACCAGGACTATTCAAGTGGCGGCCCGGGGGCCAGGTCAGGCCCACAGATGAGCTCAGTTCAGCCCATTGGGTTCACTTGAAATAAAACTAGATTTTAAACCATCAAACAAACTTAATGAGAAGAACTGCTGGATGTCCGGCCCCTGAGCTGCTGGCTCTCAGTACCTGTGGCCCCCTGAGCAGTCCTGGTGAAGGACCTCCTCCAGACCTGAGGAGACCCCACACAAGCAGCTGATGTTCAAAT